TATATACTTATAATATGTTTCTTTTCACTCAGACTATAGATATCTACTTATATATATGTTACTAAATTGTTTAGGAAATAGTTTTTGGTTTTTTTTACTATAACATTTTTTTTGCCTAATGCCTCTCTACGCCAGAATTTGATACATTGGCATGCTTTTGTTATTCATTTTATTTTGGCATTTATATTTGCATTAAGTTTAGGTGTTTAATTAGGGCTTGAGATAAATTGATAGAAAACTAATGCTTAAACAAAAAATATAAGGTTTCTTTCGTATGTTATAAATGTTATAAATGAAAACCATATTAAGCTTTTTCATATTCTTGTTTTTAAGTTTTAGTTTCGGCCCCACTCATAATATAGTCCGTGTTCCGCCCCTGGTTATTATCGGCTTATCTTAGGCTGAAACCCAAGGAAAATAAAGTCTAATATCCCTATACTGATTCTTTTATTTTTTAAATTGAGCGGACACACGTTTTTGAAAAACATATTTACAATGAATTTTGTTTCTCCTTCAGATATAATCTTATATCGTCAAAGAATATACATGGTATTCCAAACAATTCAATATTCATATTTTATAGAGCCGGGACACCTGATTGATCAGTTTCACATGTTGAAAAATGGTCTGTGATCTGTGCTTTACAAAAATGTGTTAACATTAGAATGGTGTAACTTGACATCAAAATGCTCCCAGGTGTCTTGCAGGATCAAAAAAAATGTCTGCTCACCACACAGGATTGTTAGCCTGACCATTAATGAATGCTGGCTTAACAATGACACGGGAATAAAAAAACGCTTCTTTTATTGGTCTGCAACATCCATTGTTGTTGTGTGTGTTCCATTTGACAAAGACCGTTGGAGTATTTGTCTTGCTTAAATGGTCTGAGGAATACGAATACACATTTTTCTGAAAGGTTATCACGGAGGAACAAAACAATTTGAGAGTATTCAGAAAGAAGTTGAGCAAGAGTTTGAGAGGAAATTATGCCGGAGCTTTTGGCTATCATATTCTATATATAAAGGTTTATTGGAGAATCAAATGTACAATAAATGAGAAAAAGGAGATTATATGACAGATGAGGACATTGCAGCAGGAAGACAAGATCATGTGCTGTGTCTTGTAACTTGTGTAAAAGCATGATCTTGAATAATACAACCACCAAGTCACAAGCAATTATATGGCTTAATCATGTACTTTTGTATAGAAAAGAAATAACAAAGCAGATAAATTGAATCACCAGTATTCTAAATTAAGGTGGGAATGAAAACAGTAGAAGCATCATGGTCCCATGTAATATTAAGAGGAATGTGGTAATGCCCCCTAACAAGCATGAAATTGTGGCTCAGGTCTCTGGGGATTTCTTGAAACATATCTGGCCCTATCATTAATATGTGAATTAGACATTGGATCTGTCTTACAGGTTGGAAGACAAAGCCATGTGAGGTTGCCTCTTCTTCCACCAGATGTCACCATCCTTTATCAAGATATCCTTGTATCTCTGTATATAAAAACCATTTGATATGAATAACACAACCACAACTTCCTCTGAAATCCTTCACAACTTTTCATCAAGAAGACGTGCAGGCTTTGAGAGTTTCCATCCTCAATCAGGCTTTTGAAGTGAACAGAAACTACCATCCTTAAAAATGGCCATCCTTTTTCCTCGGATCATTCAAGCAAAACAAATTCTCAGAAGATCATTATCCAATGGAAGCAGCACAAGCAAATCTATGGAAATCCCGAAAGGCTATTTAGCAATTTATGTTGGTGAGCAAGAGAAGAGGCGATTTGTGGTTCCTTTATGGTTGTTAAGCCAACCTGCATTTCAAGAATTATTAGATCAGGCAGAGCAAGAATTTGGGTATGTTCATCAAATGGGCGGCCTCACAATTCCATGCAGTGAATATACATTCAGTGATATTGCATCTCAGTTGGGCGCATTATGACTTCTATACAGCATTCTTACAACCGATTAACCACCAGCTAGGTTTTTTTGTCATTTGTATTTAAATCGAGACAATTTTCCCACTTGTATGAAATCAGATCAAGGAACAGTTTTGAGTTCCCTATAATTTGTTTAGTGTATGAATGATAAATATTTTCAGCTTTGATTATTATTGAAACATAGTCACATGGAACGCGATACGATCCGGTATGGCAACATGGATCCGGAACGTGGTTCGCTAGCTTGGACGTATCGGGTACAAGGTGGGGTAGGTTCATTTCAGTACGCCCGGTAGATCCTGGTACAGTGTATCATAGTATCCAGTACGGTGTACCATAGTATTCAATACAGTGTACCATGTTTAGAACAAAATTTTAAGAACAATTAACGTAGATTATAACATAATCACTTCAAATAAGATGTAATATTCCAGCAACTAACACTTCAAATTTTAAAACATAGAAATTCAAAGTAAATACCAGGAATTAAAAAACAGCAACAGCAACAGTTTGAAAAAAAAACAAAAAAACAGGAACATCAACACCTAAAAAACTTGAAACTAATCCATCCTTTGCCTTTTTCCATTTCCATCTGCATCAAAATCATCTCCCTCTAAGTTCTTCCACTGCAAGTCTTCATATCTTGTACTTGGCCCTTCCAAATTTGTATTTTCTGGATTCAGATCCCATTTTTTGGTTGGACCTGCTTTGTAATTTTCAGAAAAACGTGACTAGAGTCGAATGTTTGAGTGAATAAACACCAACTTGTCTGCCCTTTTACAATTTAAACGATTTCTTTTCACATATTGAATATAAGAGTAGGTACTCCAGTTTCTTTCCGCTGAGGAGCTATTAATGGGCAGTGAGAGAACTCTTATGACAACATTAGCCAAGTTTGGAGTTTCTGAACCGTAACTTGACCACCAATCAATCGCGTCCATGGTTACCACATGCATCTGTGATGATGCCATCGAATAAAGTCCTTTTCTCATGTGAAATGTTGCAAATTGCTCTCGCAACATCCGATATTCTTCTTCACTTTCAGATATTCTTTTAAACGCTTCCATGACTCCAAGTACCACTTCTTTATCTAAGTTGGGTGCTTTTCTAGCTATTCCACTAGGTGCTAACATTGAACGATAATCCGCATCATAGAATCATCGACATAAAGCAAATCCTAAACAATGTATGGAATCGTCATCTTCTCCCACCAAGCAAGCAATATTTTTTCAACTTCTAGATAGTATGAAGCATATTTGTTTGACATCACATCTTTAACTTCTCCTAACATGTTGTCCATTTTTTCGTATATTTCTCCCATTTTTGCTCCCTCGCCTTCACAAAATTTCATCAACAAAAAAATAGGTTTTGTGATCGCTAAAATACTCTCCACATCCTCCCAAAACTCTTCACTTCTAATAGTTTCAACAACCTTTGATCCAGTAATTCTAGTATTTTCATCTCCCAGTTTCACCCAATCTCTCCAAGAATTAAGGGAGATGGTTGTAGACAAAGCTTCTCTACAATCCATTAACATTTTCAATAATACCTAATGAGATGCAAATCTCATCTTTGCCACCTTTAATAACTCGAGTGTTGAGTTATCTCTAAACATGGTCAAAGCATGATTATGATTAAGAAAATATGTTACAACCACTTTTCCTCTTTTATATGTGGTCATCAACCAATAGAACGTATTTCCAAGATCATTGAAAATCAAATTCAATGTATGCACACAACAAGGAGACCAATGTGTTTGTGTACCTTTTCTATTTCTTTCCCGGCAGCCTTGCAATTCGCAGCATTGTTTGTAACGACTTGTAGGACATTGCATGGTCCTACTGTTTCGACGGCTCCAAGCAATTAGTTTGCTATTGCAACTCCAGTTTTCTCCACACCAGAAAACTCTTCTGCATTCATGAACATCGCCTCACGACTGTTAACAGCTATGACATTAATGAGTGGCTTGTGCTTTACGTTTGTCCACCCATCAGAAACAATTGAAACACCTTGCATATACCATGTATCTTTTATAGGATTTAAATCCTTTTCTACATCTCTATGGCATTCATCAAGTAAAACTGTCCTTGCTTTCTCGCTAGACGGAGGCTTATAACCGGCAGGTGCTTTGTTGATAGCACTAACCATCTCCAAAAATTGGGGATTATGTAGCACATTAAACAGAATTCCATTTGCGCAAAGCTCTCTTGTGATCTTCAAGTCAACAACGCTTCTTTCCATTACAGCAAATGCATCTTCAATAGGTTTCTTAAAAGAAGAGGAAGATTTTTTTTACTGAGTATGGAGTTCTTTAAAGCACGGGACACACCAACCTTTTCAGCATCTCGGACTTTTTTAAACAGCCTTTCACGCTTTTCACGATCATTTAGTATAACCGAACACCTTCTAATTTCAGCGGTCTTGCCCGGCATAACACCAAAAACGTGTATATGTATCCTCGTATAGGAACTAGTAAACTGTTGTTTGCAATGTTTACAAACCCACTTCTTTGCACCCCCAGTATTCTTGCTTGTTGCAGCATAAATAATGTTTACTTCCTGCAATAATGGCTTGGCATCCTTCACCTCACGAGTGTTAACTTGTTGAGTATCATCTATAAATGTGTTATCTTCAATGCTATTTTCATCTTCATCTACTTCAATATGCTCTATGTTCTCTCGGTGATCAGAAACACCTTTACCAAACACCATTTTTTTTCCTGTGAAGACTTACTTTGTCTTTTTTTATTTTTTCTATTGAGAATGTGTGGTAAAAAAAGAAAATCGATGCATAAATTAATTGTTTGTAAATGTGCAAACTGTAATCAATTTATAGTTTAATACTTTAATAATGGAGTCGTTGATTCTATAATACCGACTGAAATATCAAAATTCAAATAAATGGCTTAAATTAATGTATTGAAATCGTATATTGGTGTATATGGTTTTCTCAATGTGAATCGATGCCCCTTATAAAAAAGATATACACAATCAATTGATGGAAATTAGGAGATTTTGTTGCCAAATACTCAGTCGATCGTTCCCAGAGTACAAATGTTATTTCAGTCGGCGTCCCATGGCTTCAATCGGCATCCCATGGCTTCAGTCGGCGATCCCCAACTTCGATCGGCGATCTACATCGCCGTTCCGATATCCAAGAAAAGCGAATTTGGGGAAGGTGGGTTCAATTTTAAAATCGTTCAATCTATCGATCCAGGTCGCGTTCCCCATGCGTTTGGAACGAAATCGTACCCCGATCCAGCACGCGCGAACTCGAACGAGGATCGTGTCTAGTCAGGCGATTTATGTGACTATGTATTGAAATGTGAATTTTGGGAATGAAATGGAGTTAACAAAGATTGTTGCTTTTGTTCATGACCTATCATCAGAAATATAATTGGTAAACAATATGTAGCACTTGGGTCCATGACCTTGTGATGGTGATATGTCAACCATTAAGTCTCACATGTTTTGTTCTTTAATCAAAGTAAAATCCAAGTTTGCTGAACATTGATGAATTACAAGACAAATTGGGTCCTTCTTGAAAACAATTCCATCGCATGAAAAATGTACATGGTGATTACATATACCAGTAGAGTTATAGCAATGTTTAACTATTCTTTAGATTACTTATACACCCAAAGATTATGTAAATTAAAGCCAATCAATCATGTTGTTAAAGCTATGCAGTTTCCTTATTGCAACTAATTAATATGTGAAATTGTTGCATACGACATTAACTGAAAATCGTATAACATTCGTAGAAGTATAATGTTTAAACATGATTATGCACTTTGACCTTTACATACAGGATAGTGAAAAAAGCATTGATATTTGATTTTGGTTCCTCATATCGTTGATAGCATATTTGTTGTTAGCTTAGCCAGCAGCACAACAAAAAAAAATATAATATGCCTATATTCACCCTTCTTTTATGAAAGAAAAAAAAAATATTGATAATGAATTTTGTTTCTCATTCAAGTATCAGCTTATAGCATCAAATAATTTACAGGGCACTCCAAACAAGTGAAAATTCATGTTTTATAAAACAGGGACAAGTGACACATGAGTCTCGAATGCCTGTTGCGAAAAGTCTGTATCAGATACACCTGTAGATTTGTTTCCACAAATTTTGTGAAATTTACATACCAATTCCATGCTATCATCAAAGTTTTCCCTAGCCTGTTCCTTTTTCCATTAAATGTTGGAATTCACATTAGTAAAACTCAAATCTGTGGCATTCAAGTTTTTGCCATGCAATCATGTTTCTAAGCTAATTACAAATAGCAATTCATGAGTCCAAATCCAATTTTAACACTTTTCTGAATATTTTCGAAAAATTAACTTACTAGGGTTTGGTTATTACCTCAAGAATCTGTCAAATTGAAGGACAACAGAAATTTTGGGTTACCAAATCTGAGAAATCACGCAACCCTTATATGATTTCTGTGCTCCGTTTCTTCTTCCTCTTTCTCTGGTTCGGGTCGCACTCAGCAGAATGCAAAGAGACCTTGAAGGTCTCCCCTTCTTTCCAGATTGTAGACATAACAACGCACACACAAGGAAACCAGCGTTTTCCTTTCTTTTGTTAACATTCGACTGACTTTGGGTCCCAACATTTAACCTATGTTTACATAAAGCCCTTTATATTCTATTTATTCTCAGAATGACCAAAAATTCTTAAGTAACATATTCCCCTCTACTTTTAACTTCCAAATATTTCAAAATACCCTTCTACTTTATCACCTAATTTTTCAACATACATGTAATTTTAAATAAATGAGAATATTGGGAGTGGAATGGAGTTAACAAAGATAGCTGCTTTTTTTCATAACCTATCATCAAAAATATAATCGGTAAACAATATGTAGCACTTGGGTCCATGACCTTGTGATGGTGATATATCAACCATTAAGTCTCACATGCTTTTGTTTTTAACCAAAGTAAAATCCATCATTTGCATGGGAAAATAACAAGGTTGGTATCGAAAATTCAAGTGAGCGTGTTAATGCCTTCGAAGATCAAGATGATAATTCACAATGTAATATGGAGGAAGGGTCATATGATCCGTTTGGAATCTACGAAACAGTTGAAAAAATGAAAGAGGATGGAAGAAATGCTAAGGAAGTAAATTCAGATGTTATTGATGATGATATCCGGGTTCATGAAAGCAAGATAATTCCTATAAATGATGAGGGGCAGTTACGGAATTTACATTAAAAAACAGCGGAGCATAAATTTTTTTCCCAAGTTATATCCCCTGATCAGCAGCAGAATGAAGTTTGCTTAGGTAATGTTACTCGCCATCAACCATTGAAGGCTGGCCAGACATCAAAACAGGGGCCGGTGGTCACTGTTCCAGCAACAGTTAAGCTTTCGGCAAAGGAAAGCTGCCCGGCAGCAGGTCCAGCTCCCTCTTCAGCCTCGATTATGGATTACCCAATACATTACTCCAATGAAGGAAAAAATGATGAATGCAAGAATACTCCTATTGGGTTTGATGGTGGATTTGTTCCGGTTTCTGGTATTGTAGATTCGGAAGATAATTTAACAAACGCTCCAGGTTTTTCAAATTGTAATAGTTTAGATGGCTGTTTGGGTAATTCTTACAATAAAGGGTCTTTCTTAAGTGAGATCCAAAAAATATTGGAGATGGGAAAAGCAATGGGAGATAATTTGGAGGGGTGTTATGACCGGGTAAAAGACCTTGTTGAAGGGAACGGAGATAAAATGGTGTTGAGATGAATTGTCTCTCCATCAATATACAAGGAGTGGGTTGTAAATATAAATGGAGTTGGGTACGGAATTTATGTCTTAAACATAAGCTTAATTTGATGGCAATTCAAGAAACAAAGATGGAAGTTAATGATGTTCGTATGGCTCGTTCTTTCTGGGGTAATATTTCTTTTTCTTATGTTGTCTCTCCTTTTCGTGGAGCTTCGGGTGGTATTCTTGTTCTTTGGGATTTGGATTTTATCTATTTTAAATCCCCCCATATTTCTGATTATTTTACTGTTATCAAGGCGATATGGTCTTCTTCGGGGTTGGTGGTTATGTTTATTGCGATTTATGCTCCACCAGGGGCTGATTGTAAGAAAATTCTTTGGGATATTCTTCTTCAGCTTATTAATTATTTCCAAGGTGAATGTGTTTTGATGGGTGATTTCAATGAGGTGTGTGATGAAACGGAAAGATTTGGTACTATTTTTAATTCAAATACAGCTAGAAGCTTCAACAATTTCATTGAGTGGGCGACCATATCTGATGCTTCTCGGGGGGGGGGGGGGGGTCCTCGGTTTACGTGGAGTAATAAGTGGGGTTCAAATTTTAGTAAGTTGGATAGATTTTTAATTTCTCATGGTATTTTGGATGCTTTTCCTCATTTGACAGGTATGGTCTTGGAGAAGTACATTCCAGACCATAGATCTATTCTGTTATCGGAGCATAGAGTTGACTATGGCCAACTACTTTCCGTATCTTTTCTTCTTGGTTCAACTTGGAGGGGTTCGATGATGTTGTTAGAAATTCATGGTTCCCGAGATCAAAATTTACTCAGTGTTTCTCATCTTTGGGTTAGATTTAAGAAGAAACTTCAACTTCTTAAATATAACATTCGAATTTGGAACACTAATTCTAAGCTCAAAATGGGTTCTAAACGCACGAAGCTCCAAAAACTATCAGAATCCTATGATTCGCGCCTTATGACCGGCGGGGGAGATGCTATTTTTCGGGAGCAACAAGTTTATATTCTTAAGAACATCACGGATTTAGATCACACTGCGAATCTCGAGTTAGCCCAAAAGGCTAAAATTCAGTGGGGACATTGAAGGTGATGAAAACTCGAGTTGTTTTCATGGGGTCATAAATAGTAAGAGAAGACAAATGACTATCAGGGGTGTTTTGAAGGATGGGTGTTGGATTGATGATACAAATACGGTTAAGGAGGAATTTCGTGTTTCAGACTCTTTTTTCTAAACAGGTTGGTACTCGACCCCTTTTTTCTCATCTTTCGTCTGCTCAATTCCAATTTCTTCATGCTCCTTTTACTTGGGAGGAAATAAAGAAGGCAGTGTGGGACTCTTGCTATTCCAAAGCTCCAGGTCCTAATGGTTTCACATTTGGTTTTATAAAATGGTATTGGGATATTGTTCAGGATGATATTTTTGACTTGGTGTCTCATTTTCATATGCATTCTTCTATTCCTAAGGGGTGTCATGCTTGCTTTTTCACTATGATCCCAAAAATTAGAGACCTAAAGGTTGTTAGAGATTACAGGTCTATTAGCTTGACTGGTTGCTACTAGATTGGCTGAGGTTATTGATAGTTTGGTTAGTGTGGAGCAATCGACTTTTATAAAAGGTAGATAGACTCTAGAGGTCCGTTTCTTCTCAATGAAATTGTAGCTTGGAGTAAAGCTTCTAAAAATCCTCTTCTGCTCTTCAAAGTGTATTTAGAAAAAGCTTATGATTCTTTATCAAGGGAATACTTGCTAGAAATTATGCAAATTTTGGGGTTTAGCTCTTTTTGGTGTAATTGGATTTTGGAGATGTTGTCTTCTGCCACAGTCTCGGTCCGGGTGAATGGTTCTCCTTCCCGGGAATTTCACATGTTTAGAGGTCTGATACAGGGTTCCCTATCCCCTTTTCTTTTTGTGTTGGCCATGGAGGGTTTGCATGTGACCCTGTCTACGGCCCAGTTAGCTAATGCATTTAGGGGAATCAAAATAGGAGGAATTATAATTTCCTATATTCTTTATGTTGATGATGTTGTCCTTTTGACGGAATGGAATCAGGAGAATCTCTCCATATTGTTCGAATTCTTAACTGTTTCTTTTTTGCTTCGGGTTTGAAAATAAATATTCTTAAAAGTAAACAGTATGGAGTGGGAGTCACGGCTAATCAAGTTTCATCTTTGGCTAATTGCATGGGTGTTCTCTGGGCTCTTTTCCTTTTATTCACTTAAGGGTTCCGGTTGGTTAGAATATGGATATAATTAATTCTCGGGGTCCCATTGTTGATTCTTTTTGAAAAAAATTGGCTGTTTGGAAAGCAAAAAGTCTTTCTTTTGGAGGACGGTTGACTCTAGTTAAAGTAGTTTTGGGTTCGATTGCTAGTTACTTCAAGTCCATTTATCATGTGCCTCTTATAGTGATAAAGGATTTCAAGAGATTGAGATGAGTGTTTTTTTAGGGTGCTGATTTGGTAGATCGTCGTATGTATTGGGTTAGGAGGGTTAAAATTCTAGCCCCTAAAGAAGTTGGAGGTTTGAGGATGGGTAGTCATTTTTCCTTTAACATGGCTCTATTATTACGTTTGAAGTGGATATTTTTCATAATCCTAGTTTATTATGGGAGAGAGTGGTCAACAGAATTTATGGGTTGGGAGAGATTACTGACTCTTTGATTATAAGGAGATCATTGAAGGGTCCTTGGAATGGTATTACGAGGATTGTAGATAATCTCAAAAATCAAGGCTTTGACTTCCATAACTTAACTCCTATTAGAATTGGTGATGGAACCTATACTTCTTTTTGCCATGATAATTGGCAAGGCAATAGTCCTCTTTCGATTTCGTTTCATAGAGTTTTTCCTTTGGATATGAACCGCTCAACCAATGTTAGGGATCGTTTTATAATTTGTTGGAACACGGATGATCTTTCACGTATGCCTAGAGGTGGAATTGAAGAAACTCAGTGGCTTTCGTTTTTGGAGGTGATATAGGGTGTTCAACTTCATCAAGTCCCGGATAGACTAGGTTGGTCTCTTGATAGTTCTGACTCATTTTTTGTTGCGTTCGTGCGCCATGCGTTGGTTACTGGTTTTGTTCGTTCGGGGGATAGGGGTACACGATGGAATAATTGAGTGCCTATTAAGCTCAATATTCTAATATGGAGGATTCAACTTTCTAGTATTCCAACGGGGGAGAGATTATCGATTAGGGGTGTTATGGTTCCTTTTATCATGTTCCCTATTTGTATGGTTGCAGCTGAAACTATTGATCATATTTTTGCATGGTGCCGTCACTTAAGATATATTTGGGGTGGGGTAGCTATATGGTGGGGTTTGTCTCTCCCAACTCGGATCTCGGTGTAGTCTTTAATTAACTGGTCGGAGGCTGTAAACCTATGTAGAGGTCAAAGAAAGGCATTTGATGCGGTCATTTTTACTTCCTTCTGGTGTTTGTGGAATTTTCGTAATACTTCTATTTTTGGAACGGTTTTACCTAAGAAATCGGTTATTTTTTATGATGTTGTTGAGAAATCCTTTTTTGGGTATCTAATAGATGTAGTAGGGTAAACTTAAGTTGGATTTAGTGGCTTCATAACCCCTCTTTAGCTACCTCCTTGATGTAATCTCTCTCTAGATTTTTGATAGTTTTTGCTTTATTTTTTTAATAAATTTCAGTCGTTCCAATAAAAATCCAAGTTGACTAAACATTGATGCATTACACGACAAATTGGGTCCCACTTGAAAACTATTCCATCGCTTGAAAAATGAACATGCTGATTACATATACCAATAGAGTTATAGCAATGTTTAACTATTCTTTTGATTACTTATACACCTAAAGATCTTGTAAATTAAAGCCAATGAATCATGTCATTAAAGCAATGCAGTTACCTTATCACAACTAATTAATATGTGAAATTGTTGACTACGACATTAATTGAGAATTGTAGAAGTTTTATGCTTAATCATGATTATGCACTTTGACCGTTAGGTACAGGACAGTGAAAAAATAACATTAATATTTTATTTTGGTTCCTCATATCATTGTTAGCATATGTTGTTATTAGCTTAGCGAACAAACTCCTCGAATTCAAATAAAGGATAGTACAACTCAAATCTATCCCATTCAAGATATTCAAGTTTTTGCCATGCAATCTTGTTTCTGAGGTCATTACAAATAGCATTTCATGAGTCCAAATCCAATTTCAACATTTATTTGAATACGTTCGAAAAATCAACTTACTAAGGTTTGGTTATTACCTCAAGAATCTATAAAATTGAAGGACAATATTAATTTTTGGTTACCAAATGTAACAAATCACACATCCTTTATATGATTTATGCATTCCGGTTCTTCTTCTCTTTCTCTAGTTTGGTTTGCACTCAACAAAAAACAAAGAGACCTTGATGGTCTCCCCTTCTATCCAAATTGTAGACATAACCAGACACACACACAAGGAAACCAACGTTTTCTTTTCTTTTCTTAACATTCGATCGACGCTCACAAGAAAAGAAAATAAGGTGCCCCCCAATTTCAAATTTTGTTCCCATCTGTTACCTCCATTTACAATAAGTCATTTATCTTCAATCAATCTTCAATATAACCCAAAAATAATAAGTAAATGATTTTTCCCTCTATTTTTGAACTCGAAATATTTCAAAATACCTGTTAGTCATTAGGGTTTAGGCTTTAGCCATTAGGTTTTAGGTTTTCTTTATATATTCTTATGTAATTGTCTTTTGAGAATCAATCAATCATTTATCTAACATGGTATAGGTGCTCTAGGTTAAAACCATGTTGCGGACCACAACCCATTGGCACTGCCTTCCTCCGACGACGACCTTCTCTAATACTCGTCGGAGGTGCCTTCATTACGTTCCATATTTTTCCCATTCTCATCTTTTCTGGTTAAATAATAAAAAAGCCACCAACACCAAATTAGACCTCTTTCTGTAACATCCTGAGATTTGGCAGGTATTCCTAAACCCTCTTCTATCTTTTTCTTGTCATTTATAG